TTATTTAAATATTCACCACCGGAATAAGTAGACACGCTAAAGAAGTTTTTGGCTTTAGTACATCTTGAGTTTATAAAATTCTTGGTACTCCAAGGTCCGGTAGCAATAATTATTCGCCCGGAAGCGTTCACCAATTATGAAGAGGGCGCTGGTGAGACACATACAGAAACTACTTAACAAGCCGATAGTGAGAGCACGATCGGCTACCACCGTAAGACGCTTCTGTCAAGGGTCCAGTGCTCCAAGGGTACAGCTGGGTGACCTCTCTCGGACAGAAGAGATTAAGCGACGATGACTTCATTCATGTCAAGACGGGCATCAGCGCGTCGCGCCAGCGACGAATGCTGTTTATGCCTATCTTGGATATAAGAGGCTTTTAACAGCTTGGATTGTTGTCTTGTCTCGCAGTTCATTTCAATATACGATGTCATCGTGGGTATTGCTCGGCTGAAGCTACTAGCAGTCGAATCTATTGGGTGCCACAAACATCAATCTTTGTGAGGCTCTCAGAAGATACTATCTCGACCATACTATGAAGAAGTGCGCTTTTGAAGCAAGTACAAATCTGTAGAAACTTTGATCCAGCAGCCGAGTTATCCAAAATAGTAGGTAGCGCTATCGCTCAGTGACTTGATATAAATTTGGAGTGCAGGAGCGGCGGTGAGACACAGGTTCAGGATTTGACGGGAAGTAGCGATCTTTCACGGAAATCTCCCGAGTATATCTCCGCAGAGGCAGGTATGAGTGGTGTTGAGAGTATATATATGCCCAGACAGATAAGTTAAACTTTTTGTTAAATTTTCCAACGGAATGTATTAGTGGAATGACTGAACTGCGCTATTTTTACGCATTAGCCGGCTCAAAACACAAATGTGTATCGTGGTCTCTCAAGCAAGAATCGGTGAAGACATATGGGTAAGAGGAATGAACTCTGGTGCTGTTTCCGCTGATCACTGCTCGCGTTTCGACGCAGTCGCTGCATGCCACGAGTGGCATGGTCGAACGAGGTCCAAGGCATCTTGGGCAAGGCCCTTCA